CCCCCCCCCCGCAGGTGGACCCCCTGCGGCAGGTCTGCCTGGTGCAGTTCGAGGACGACTCCCAGTTCCTGGTGCTCTGGAAGGACATCAACCCAGGTCAGTGGCCCCGGCCCATGGGGGCGCCTGGCCCCCCGGCCGGCAGGGGGAGCTGCCCCGCCCCCCCGCCTGGCAGCTCTGGGTGCGCCAGCCCCCCGAGGCTTCGGGGGGGGGGCACAGGGGCAGGCCTCCTGCCCCCTACTCTCCTGATGCCGCTGGGGTGGCGGCATGGGGCACTCATCTTCTGAAGGCAGGGAAGGAGGCAGGCCGCCATCCCTGGTGGTTGGGGGGCAGCTCTGGCGCAGGCCGCTGCCGGGGCTTGTGGCAGCCCGGGGGGGGGGCAGCCCTGGCCCACCCCCTCCTCGCCTGCCTGCCTGCCTGCCTCCCTCCACAGCCGCCGTGCCCGGGGAGGAGCTCTCCTGCTGCGTGTGCCACTCGGAGGCTGAGGGTCCGGAGAACCGGCTGGTGCGGTGCGAGAAGTGCAGCCACGGTGGGTGTGCGCGGCCCCCGGCCTCCCCCCCTGTGGCCCGCGGGGGCCCCGCTCCGCCCCCACTGATTCCACTGCTCCGTGTCCCCTGCAGCCTACCACCAGCAATGCCACCTGCCCAGGGTGCTCGGCGAGGGCGCCTGGACCTGCCGGCAGTGCGTCTTCGCGGTGGCCACCAAGGTGAGTGGCGTGGCCGGGGGTCTCCCTGGCGTGGCCCCGGGGGCATCGGGTGTCCCGCCCCGGGCAGGTCGTGGCTTGGGCCCCCCCCCCGCGGGGGAAGCCCCCCACTGCCCTGGGGCCCCTGCCCCCGGGGGAGCCGCACCCCGCGGCCTCCGTCGGGGAAGAGCCTAGTGCTCCGTGTATGGCGGGCGGGGAGCTGCCCGCCTGCCCCACGGCGCCAGGCGGCCCCCCACGTGCCTCTCTCCCACCCTCCCTCCCTCTGCAGCGGGGCGGCGCCCTCAAGAAGGGCCCCTACGCCAAGGCCATGCTGGGCATGAAGCTGGTGCTGCCTTACCAGCTGAAGGGGCTGGAGTGGGACGCCGAGCACCTCAGCAACCGGCAGCAGTGCTACTGCTACTGCGGCGGCCCCGGCGAGTGAGTGCGCGCCTCCGGGCGGGCGGGGTGGGCCTGGGCGGGGGCCGTGGGGCCGGGCAGCCCTGCCTGAGGGCCCCCCGCCCACCCGCCCCTCCGCTGTGCTTTCCCGGCCAGGTGGAACCTCAAGATGCTGCAGTGCCGCCTGTGCGCCCAGTGGTTCCATGAGGCCTGCACCCAGTGCCTGAGCAAGCCGCTGCTCTACGGCGACAGGTGAGGGGCGTCCCGGCCCGGCCGGGGGGTGGGGGGGGCGCGCAGGCCCGGGGGCCCCGCTCACCCCGTGCTTCCCTCCGGCAGGTTCTACGTCTTCGAGTGCTGCGTGTGCACCGGGGGCCCCGAGAGCGTCCGGCGCCTCCCCCTGAGATGGTGAGCAGGGCAGGTGCCCCCCCCCCCGGGCTGGGCGCACACATGGCCGGGTCACCCCCACACTGCCCCAAGCGGGGCGGCCAGCAGGCCCCGCTGGAGCTTGGGGCGGGGAGTTCCACGGGCTCCCTTCGGACTCCGCGGGGAGCCCCCGGGCTTGCCGAGCGGCTTCCGAAGGAGGGGCACGAGCCGACGGGGGGTGGTGGGGGCCTACACGGCCACTCGGGCGGGGCCTTCTGCCGCCCCCCGATCCGCCGCCAGCCAGCCCCTGGGCGAGCAGCCGTCTCTGGGGGGACGGGCCGGCTGCGGGGGGTCCTGCTCCCCTTCCCCACTGCCAGGAGCAGCCCCCCGCAGTCCGTGCGGAAGGGGCCGCAGCAGGCAGGCCCCGTCCCAGCACGGGGGCCCCGCTGGGACTCCATGCCAGCCTGGGGCTCCTCTCGGGCAAGGCCAGGCCCCCGACTCCTTTCCCCAAAAGCAGCTCTCACACTTCTCTGAGGGGGGACTTTCAGGCCAGCCCCCAGGCCGTTCTCCCCAGTGGCTCCCGCAACCCGCGGGGGCGCCCCGAGCCTCGGGGCCCCCGAGGGCGCTCCCCAACCCAGCGCCAGGAAGGGGAGCCCTGCCCAAAGGCGCAGGGGGGCTCCCCGCGTCGCAGCACGAGCCGCCCCTTCGCCTGGCTCCAGCAGAGGACTGCCCCGCCCTGGGGAGCCCCTCCAAGGCCACCTCACGGGAAGCGGCCCGCCGGCATCCTCCCCAGCCCGGGGTGGCCGGGCGACAGGAGGACTCGTGCCACCCAGGCCGCTGAGGACTCCCGTGGCCGCTTGCAGGGTGGACGTGGCCCACCTCATCCTGTACCACCTCAGCATCTGTTGCAAGAAGAAGTACTTCGACTTTGAGCGGGAGATCCTGCCTTTCGCCAGCGAGAACTGGGACAGCCTCCTGCTGGGAGAGGTGAGGGCAGGGCAGGGCAGGGCAGGGCAGGGCAGGGGGGCCCGTGGGGGCCCCGTGCGCGGCCCTCCTGCACGTGGAACGTCCCTGGATGCCCGCACAGGGCCGTGCAGCCTGACCCACATGGCGGCCGGCGGGGGGGGGGGCAGGCTGGCTGTGCTTGGGGGCCGGGGGGCGCAGGCTCCTTCCCGTGCCAACGTCTCCCCATTGGCTCCCGCAGCTCTCGGACACCCCCAAGGGGGAGCGGTACAGCCAGCTGCTGAGCGCCCTGACCGGCCACAAGGACAGGTAGGTGCCCCACGCCCGGCTCGCCCCACCCGTCCTCGGGCCTCCGGGACACCTGGCCCCCTGCCTCAGCACCCAGCCGGGCCGCCCCGCCTGTCTCTGGCCTGCCCCACGGGGACCCACCGGGGGTGGCCCCAGCCTGAGTCCCCAGTCAAGGGGCGCCCCACCATTGCTCGGGAGATGGGAAGCCCCGCTCAAGGCCACAGCGTCTTTGGGAAGCTCCCCCGGCAGCCCCCGCGTTGTCGGCAGGAGCCAGCCCCGATCGCAGGCCTGGAAGGCCGAGGTCACGGCACATGAGGAAGGCGGCATGGGGAAGGAAGAGGGAAAACGTGGGGTTTTTGCAGAGGCTGAAGGGTCGCCCTGGCCCTCCCCCCGCCGACTTTGGCAGCTGCCGTGTGTGCGGCAGGCCACCCGCTGCAGCCACCCGGCCCCGGGGCCCCGGCCCCCACCGCCCTGACCCGCTTTCCCCCCGCAGGTTCATCTCCGGCAAGGAGATCAAGAAGCGCAAGGGCCTCTTCGGGCTGCACCTGCGTGTCCCTCCGCCCGCGCCCCAGCTCCCGGACGGCTCCGGGGGCAGCAAGCCCCCCCTCGCCAAAGACGGCAGGTGAGGCGCGGCCCCCTCCCCCCCACTGCCCGGGCGAAGGGGCCGGGGTGCTCCGGGGCCGCCCCAGCCCGCCCCGTCCCTCGGCGCCCCCTCCGTGCTGGGCAGATAAGGAGGGTCTCTTACAGCTTCCTTTCAGGGCAGGGCAGGCGTGGGAAGGGGCCGGAGCGCCGGAGGGCCCGGGGGCGTCTGGCCAGGAGGGACGCGGCCCCCTGCGGGGAGGAGCAGCAGCGCAGCGCAGGGGAGAGGCAGCCGCCGGAGGGAGCCCTCGCGCAGGTAACGTGCGGGCGAGCGGGGCGGCCCCGAGGGGGGAGCGGCAGGAGGAGGAGGAGGAGGAGGCCTCACGCTGTCGTGTCCCGCCAGGAGGTGGTGCAGACCCCGGGCAGCGCTAGCCAGAGCGACGGCGGCTCCGGCGGCCCCGCCAGCACCTACAACTTCCGCCGCACCGACGCTCGCTGCCAGGACAGGTGAGGGCTGGGCCGGGGCCGTGCGGGCCGGGCACCCCCCTCGCCCCCGCTCACTGCCCGCCTCTCTCCCGCAGCGCCCCCATCCGGATGTTCGCCTCCTTCCACCCATCCGCCAACACCGCAGGGACCCTGAGGTGAGCCGGCGGGGAGGGAGCGGCACCCCCAGGCCGTCCTGGGGCCCCAAGGCCGCCTGCGCACGGGGCTGGGGCTCCTGCGTGGCCGGCTGGCCCAGCGCCTGCCCTTCGGCCCGTGTCCCCCACCAGCGTGGGCCAGGCGGGGCCGAGACCTGGGGGGCTCGCCGACCTTGGGCTGCCAGAGCCAGGAGAGGTGGCCCAAAGGGGGGCTCTGGACCTGGCCAGCGATCGGGTGCGGCAAGGGCGGTGCAAGGGGGGGGCTGGTCCCGCAGCCCCAGCCGACCCCTCCCCAACAGGCTCCGGGGCCGCGTGGGGGCCGCGTGCCGTGCTTCTCGGCAGCAGTGCCGGCTGGCCCGGGGCCCCCGAGAGCCTCGTGGGGGTCTGTGAGGCCCCTGCCCCCAGTGGCGGGGGGAGGCCTGCTGCGCCCCCAAATCGCCCTCGCCCCTCTCCCAAGGCAGAGGGCCGGCTCTGTGGCCATGGGGCCCTGGCGCTGCCCAGAGCCCGGTGGGGGGCAGGCCAGCCCAGCCCACGGTGGGCACGGGGAAGGCACCAGCCAATGGCCGTCTCCTTGCAGCACGAGCGGCGCCCTCCCGCTGGACCCCTGCGACGCGACCGGCAGCGAACACGAGAGCCCCGAGCGGCCCGCCCCCTGCCTGCCCTGCCCGGCCCCGGCCCCGGCCCCAACCCCGGCCCCGGCCACCAAGCGCCGGGTGCAGCCCCAGGCCCCCGCACCCCCTGCCGCCTGCGTCCCCGCCAGCCCCTCGGCCCACAGCAGCTACTTTGGGGCCATGGGGCGGCTGGCCCGGGGCGAGGCCGTGCGCATCCTGGCCCGCCGGGTCACCACCGAGGGCACCGTGCAGTACCTGGTCGAGTGGGACGGCGGGGGCATGTTCTAGCCCCGGGCAAGAGGGACGCCGTGCCGCGGCGGGGCCCGGGACGCCCGGCGAAGAGGGCAGCCAGGACCCCCTGGACCTGTGGGGCGGGCCCGGCTCCCGCCCCAGGACCGCTGACTCGCGGCTCCTTCCCGAGGGGGAGGGACGGCCTGGGCGGCAGGATCCCTCTGCCCGCGCTCCGCACCGCTGCCGCCGCCGCCACCGCCTCGCAGTCATCCCGTGCAAGTTTCTTTCGGCTGATTTCCCCGCTGTTTCACCGGTACCGGTTTCATTAAGGAGGCCTGCTTGGGGTGGGGGGGGCTGCCCCCCACCCCCGGCGCCTGCACCGCTGCTTCTGCGCGTCCCGGGCCGCCGCCGCGGAACTGACTGTACAAAGCGCCACAGAATAAAGAGCTCTGGTCAAGCCCGTGTGCCTGCGGGTGGTTCGTGGCACCGACACGGGGCCCCGCCGGCCGGGCCCCTGCGCCCCCCGCCGGCGCTCCCGAGGGGCTGGCGGCCCCCTCCGCCACCCGGCGCAGGTCCAGTCGTGGGGCTGCCCGGACGCCTCGGCCGGGCATCCCTGGCCCAGGGCCCCCCGCGGGATCCCGCCCCGGCCCCCCGGCCCAAACAAACGCAGACACAGGCTGTTGCTCGTGCGTTCCCCGCCAGCCCCGGGGGCTTTATTGCTCCCGCGCAGCAGCACGTCCCTGCCCGGGGCCCGGCTGCGGCTCCTGCTCCTGCTCCTACTCGGGCACCGTCTCGGCCACCCACTTCAGGTACGGCGGGTTCCCGTCCTGGATGGGCACGGCGATCACCTCGGCCACTTCGTAGGGGTGCACGGACCTGCAGGCCAAGGGGAAGGGTGGGGCGGCAGGGTCAGGTGTGCCCGGAGAAGCCCCCCCGTGCCCCCCGCCGGCCCCCCCGCCCCCGCCGGCAGGGACTTACCGCACGAAGTCAGCCAGCGCGGAGATGCGGGAAGTGCGTGTCTTGATCATCTGAGGGGAGAGACCTTTCTGTCAGCCAGCCACTCGCAAACGCCCCTTTTCCTCCGAGGAGCCCCTGGGGCCGCCATCATCTCGCCTTTGTAGCGGCCCCAGACCGGCCCAGGGGCGCCACGGCCTGGCAGGGCACAGGGCCCACTCCCCGCCATGCTGGCTCCTTGCCAGTGGGTTCTGGACCCAAGGTGGGAAGAGGAGGTACTGCCAGCCCCACACCAGCCTCCCCCCACACTCCCCAGCCACATGCAAGGGGGGCAGCCGAAGGAGCGCCGTGAAGCAGGAAGGGGGCGGCTGTGTTTCCCCCTCCTCCCTCCTTCCAGGCAGCAAGCAGGGCGGCCCCCCAGCAGGCAAGCCGCAGCACTGGGGCGGAGGACGAACCTTGCTGCTGGCAGTGCAGTAGCCGAGGCATGGCCCCATCCCCATCGTGGGCCGGGCTGAACGCCGCCCCCCTCACCATGGGCCCCGGAAACGCCACCTCTGCTGAGGCCTTGGCCCCCAGTCCTGGGGGTGCGACAGGAGGGCAGCAGGGGGAACCAGGAGAGGGAGGGCTGCCCCGGACGGACCCTCCCCACTCACCAGCAGCACCTCGGAGTCCTCCTCGATCTTGCCCTTCCACTCGTAGCTGCAAGAGATGATGCGGGGGGGGGGGGAGAAGCCATGAACCCCGTCCCCTCAGCGCAGCTGCTCTCGGACCTCCAAACCGCCCCCGGCAGATCCGGGGTCCCCGGAGAAGCCCACCGCTGAGCCAGCGCCCCTCACGGTGCGGCATTTCCAGAAACGTTGACGGCACCAACTAAAGTAGCTGAGCCCCACACTCAAGAGCACACCTGAGCCAAGGGGAAAATGGGCCGGGCAGATCTGAGCTATTTGCGGTTTAGGAACGTGAGCCCCGCTGGATCAGGCCGATGTTTCGGCCCCGTGTCCGCAGGATCCCTCCAGGGGATGCGGGCAGGACCTCCACCTGCCCAGCTCCTCAGCGGCGGGTGTGCTGTGTCTGGGGAAGGAGGTGGCACATGGCCAGCGAGGCTAGTAGCCCCTGGGTGCCCCCTCCCTCCTAAAGCCACCCAGACTGGTGGCCAGCACCACTTCCCGTGGCCTCGGATCCCAGTTTCTCTGAACGCTCCACGGAGTATTTCTTGTCTCCGCCTTTAAAGTTACCTGCCCACCGGTCAAGTTACCTGTTACTGTGTACAAGTTGGTTTGCTCCTGAAATTATCGTTAAAATTGGCAACAGCTTGATAGTGGAATCAGTAAATTCATGATTACTCCCTGGATAAATATACTTTGAAATCTGCTACAGCAAACGTGACCATTTCACAAGGAAACCGAGTGATGCAGAATGTAGTCTGAGATCTCGGAAGCACCTCCGTTATCCTGGGAATCATTCCCGAGGCGGCAGGAAAAATGCGGGTGCAGGAGGGCTCCCACCACCCCAGGGCATCGCACCAGGAGAAGCCTGGCGACCCGGCAGCGCCCAGAACAAACCCCACAATGTTGAGAGCACGGCTTTTCTATGCACTGGCCGAGGTGAAGGCTCCCGGCCCAGCCTGGCTCCCGGCCCAGAGGCAGCTGCTGCTGGGGAACATGGGCAAGGAAGGGCTGCGGCTTCTGCTCTGGCGAGCAGCTGGCTGGCCACTGCCGGAACGGGACACCAGCCTCCGTGTCATCCTGCGGGGCTGGGAGCCAGCCCAGGGCTTGCCAGCTGGCCGGGCGGCACTGCAGGGCCTTCACCGTGACCAGCAGCGGGGAAGCGACCGTGCCGGAATTTCTGCAGATCATAGGATCGTCCTTGATCATTTTGTCATTTCTGGAAACGTCGCACCTCCATTCTCCTGGGAAGCTTCCCCACTGCCTTGCTGCAAGAAGGAATCTTGGAGTGAGGAGAGGCCAGGCCGGGACACCCGGCACGATGGGAAGCGCCGTGGGGGAAGCGTGGCCCAAGTGGCAGGATGCTTCCTCACCCAGATTGACTCCGTTTCCCCCACCTCCGCCTGCTGTCCGGGTGGGTGCTCCCTGGCGGCTCTCGACTCTTCTGGACAGCCGCCTGCTGTGTTGTGGGTGGTCTAACTTGGAGTCCATGGACCCCATGGCCCTCGGGCCCCCGACTCTGCGATGAGCCCAGAGCCTGCACTGGCCCGGCTGGGGCTTGGCCCATGGCAGCCCCACGCTAGCCACCCGCCCGCCCGCCCGGGGCTGCACTCACATGGACGTGATCTGGGGGACGATGTTGACGCAGGCTGCCAGCCGCTTCTCCACCAGCGCTCTGCAAGGCAAGCGGGCAGAGAGGGCCGGCTCAGCACCCGCCTGGGGCAGGGGGGCCAGCGCCGGGGGGGGGCAGGGCCAGGGGGACCAGCAACCCAGTGCCAGCCAGGGGGCCCTGCGCCAGGGCCAGCCAGGACCAGGAGGGCAGGGCCAGGGGGACCAGCAACCCAGTGCCAGCCAGGGGGCCCTGCGCCAGTGCCGGCCAGGGCCAGGAGGGCAGGGCCAGGGGGGCTAGCCATCCAGTGCCAGCCAAGGCCAGGGCCAGCCAGGGCCAGGAGGGCAGGGCCAGGGGGGCTAGCCATCCAGTGCCATCGCCGGCCAGGGGGTCCAGGGCCAGCCAGGGGGGCCGGGGGGCGGGGCGCACCTGGCGATCTCGCGGGCGACCGTCTGGCTGGGGCAGGTGACGAAGGCGGCGGAGAGCGGCCCGGCCACGGAGGGCCCTTCGGCGGCGGCCATGGCGGAGAGGCGCTGCGAGGCGGTCCGGAGCAGCGGCACCATCAGCAGCGCCAGCAGCAGCGCCTGCGGGCCCAGGGCGGGCGTGAGCGGAGGGGGCGGCGGCCCGGGGGGGGGGGGGGGGGGGGG